TTTGAGTTGAGATAGCCAAGTTTGCGGCGAGGTTCAGAAACCACTATCTATCTAGGTTGCAACCCCCGCGGCCTCTTGGTGTTGAAGAAATTTGTTCCCTTCATTTGAAAATGGGCCTTGCGCCAGGCCCTATCTTAAACATGGAGCGACCGTTAGTTTGACGTTACCTCGTTTAGTCATTCTGATTTAAATGGGTTTGTTCGTTGAAAAATCGCTTAAAACTTGGTCTGAGCTTTGTTATAGTGCCTACAGAGTAAAAAGAATCAGCTTTATGACAGTAATGTGGCCTGGGCCCTGGGGAAGGAGGTAATTTTGGGCTGTGACGTCACATATCATCCAATCTATAAAGTCGGCCACAATTTAACTGGTTTTAACAACATTTTAGAAGGTGGGATAGTTCCTTTAAGCTAAATTTGCACACATTTGAACTTCAGCGTTTCTATTTTTGGAACATCGGCGTTTCCATTTTTGGAAACAAAGTCTCCATAAATGGATATGATTCAGGAGCATTTTTAAGTGGTGAATTTGAATGCATACGACAGCTTTCCATGCAAGAAGACAAGTGCTTTTGGTGTATCCGTGCTTGTCTTACGCAAAACAGTGGTTATACCTACATCAAATCCAGCCACCCTTGGCAAGAAAATTTGTGCGGAAATGTTAGCGTTTCTATTTATGGAACAAGCGTTTCCATTTTTGGAACAGAAGAGTAGTCAAAATTGGAAACGTTTCCAATAAAAGAAATGTCTCCATAAATGAATCGGAGATACCACAGTGCGCCGGACTGTTATCAGCATTAATTGAGCTATTAGGGGTGGCATATGTCGATATCACATAAGACACCAAAATGCAAGTTACTCTGCAAGGAAGTATCCATAGCTCCATAGCAACCACCTAGCAACGTGAATCAAAGCTGTAAACAACTCGCGTTTGTCTCAGATGCGCATTTTTCGGAGCATATAACCAGAATCTGTTATCCTCGGCGTCATAATGAATGTTGCAAAACAGAGCGACCATTTGACTATCAATAAGGACGATTTTTGCGAAATTCATGTTTCTTGCCTAACTACCTTTCGAAAAAGTTAACAGACGCTAAACAAGTTAGTCGAGCCGACGAAGATGGTCGAGCGTGGCAGGGCAGCGTCAAACTCACCCGTGTCTGTTCTTCCCGAGTCTTCAAAGTCTTCTAGCGAAACCAAGCACAGAAAACTCACAAGTTTCAATGAAATTAGACAGCAACAATGTCTAACGAAACTTTAAAATAATCTTCTCTCACAAATGACACCTCAATCAACATCTCCGTCAAGGGTCCCGACCGCGACCGAGTCCCGACAAGAATATACCATACCCTGGGGCCAGGCAGTCACGTGACAGTTTCTGCTTGGTGTTTGAGTTGTGCCATCGTGGTTTATTGATATCTTTAAACAATTTTTAGACAAAATGTAGCTGAATATGTTAACATATATTTAAAAAAATAATTTTATTTAATAAACAGAAATAAGCAAAAAACAAAAGTTTTGGCCTAAGCGTAAAACTCTTATTTATGTAATACTCTTGACATTGCTTTGCATTGAAGATTCAGGCTAGACAATTTTTCATACCCATTAGAGGTATAATACAATTTATACAATACGTTAGGCGGCACGGGCGGACATCGATAGCAGCGCCTCTATCGGTCACTAGGGAAAGCTGGGCTGTAGGCGACGAAATACCGGCTGGGTTGTCACAAGTTAAATAGGTTTATAGACATCCGTCTTGTGAAAAAGTTGAACTTTTGCCTTCAATATTTCTACAGGCAATTTTAGAAGTGCCCTCACATAGATTACAAAACCGTTTAAATTATTTTATTCACTTCAAGCCTTCCCTATTGTTCTTGATGATGCGGGAACTATTTCTAATTAGTGTTTCTAGCTTAGTAAAAGAACATATTGTGCAAAAGATGAAAAAAGCATAAATGGAAGATTTTAAATGCAATTTTCTGTAACAAATAATGGTAAATTCTCTACACATCAAGGAAAAGGTGCATGCTAACTGATAATTTAAAGTTCTTGGGGCCAGTTGATTTCTTCTTTTCTTACGTCGCCCCAATGGCCGCGAATACACTTGTGATAACGCCTATCGACTTATTTCCAGTGGCGCGGGAACTTCTTCCAGACTGGGGGGGCTGAACCATCATAGAGATCAACCTAGGGTACTATTACTAAGTGCTCGAGCGAGGAACATATTGAATATAATTAGATAAATAAAAGAAGTTGACCTTTTCCTCGACATCAAAAATGTAAAAAGCCGAATAATATATTTTAAAAAACGGTGAGCTTTCGGCCACTGGCCTTTATCAAACCAACGTGATAACAATGTTAAAAGACGATCCTGTGAATAATCTGTCTGCCATTTTTCAAAAACCGATTGTCATTTTTCAAAAACCGATTGTCTACATCGGACACTATGTAGACAATCGGTCTATCTAATAGTTTGCCCTTATGAGTAGCGCCTTTCCTAAAATATCACGATCTTCGGTTTTTGAAAAATGGCAGACAGATTATTCACAGGATCGTCTTTTAACATTGTTATCACGTTGGTTTGATAAAGGCCAGTGGCCGAAAGCTCACCGTTTTTTAAAATATATTATTCGGCTTTTTACATTTTTGATGTCGAGGAAAAGGTCAACTTCTTTTATTTATCTAATTATACAACCTAGGGTACCCCTAAATCTAGTTTTCTCATCGGTTTTAGGCCACTTATTTCTCAGACCTTGGCCTTTTCAACGAAAAAAAAGAAGAAAATATTTGCAAAAAAAGTGAGGTATTCCGTCTCAGCTGAGTGAAGAAACTAACCGTTTTGGCAGCCTGGAATAAAGGTTTTAAGCTGCCAAATGAGTTGCCGAGTCAGTAAAATAGGTAGATTTTTCACTCACATGCTTTCTTCCTTTGTGACTCACAACCCCTAATTTGGGGAGGACAAGCTGCCCCAACGGTTCCTGGCCTCATGAAAAGTTGTGAAGCACCGCCCCCACGGCCCCAGAGTTGTGAGGGCAAGCTTCCCCCACTGCCCTCTCCCCCGGTTCCCGCGCCTATGTATGAATCTATGAAATTGTGTTGGTAGATTTTCGATTTCGATTCCTCCAGCTGGGGGGGCTCAAATACATTACGAGCCCCCCCAGCCGAAAAGTTGGAGGGGCTCAGCCCCCCCTAGCCCCCCCGGTTCCCGCGCCACCGCTTATTTCTATGCTAAGATGGCTCTAGCGTATCCGGCAAATAAAATGGGCATAGGTATAAATACGCATAAAAAAATAAGTTAACATAGACTTGGGTATAACCACGGATCACATACTGCCCGGGCCTATAAGGTGTCACATAAGGTGATCCGTGGTATAACTAATGGTCAGAAGAGGGCAAGCAGCGCGCTTGGGATGAGGCGTTCTCTAAGACGTCTCAGCAGCGTCTGCTGGATGGGGCAAACCAGGTGGTCCGGGTGCGTCTTCTTGCTGCCGCAGAGCCCCACACCGCCGCCTGGGTGCAAGCCCTCCCAGTCACCAGTCTGGGACTCCACCTGGAGGACGAAACCGTCCGGGTAGCAGTGGCGCTGCGACTCGGGGCACCGGTATGTGACCGCACAACTGCCAGCTCTGCCGTCGTCCTGCTGATCGACTGGGCCACCACGGTCTCTCCTGTGCCAAGAGTGCTGGCCGCCACGCACGTCACGCCAACCTTAATGACGTGCTGCGGCGGGCACTCAGCAGCACAGGGCTCGAGTGTTTTAGAGCCCACCGGCCTTGACAGAGGTGACGGCCGACGTCCCGATGGGATAACGCTCTCCCCTTTCAGCCGAGGAATGAGCCTGATATGGGACGCCACCTGCTGCGACACCTTCTCTGCAACTGCTGTCATCAGCTCTGCCTTGAGTCCTGGTAGCGCCGCTAGATGTGTGAAGAAATAGACATCTGACAATTGGCTGACTTCCCTGCCTCCCGGCCGCTACTCAGGTCCACCACTCGCCGTTGTCAGTGCACGGTTTTTCTAGCAAGCTCCAGCCTAGTATTGATCTTATTCAGTATTTACGGTACGAAGATTTGATAACGGAATGTGACGTTTCCACATCATGCTTGATGGTTGAAGTTTGCAACGTTAACAACTACCAAGTCAAGTCGCCGCCCCAGTCATCTGGCACGTCTCTGTCATCGAATAAAGCCAATGAACAAGAAAGTTATTATTTTCCAGCATAAATGAAAATATATAACACTGCTACAGGCGGTACGCGGATGTCATGCACTACACACAACGATTCAATCGAATAAAAACTGGATTAACCATAAATAATAACAGTACAGCACTGGATTAACCATAAATAATAACAGTACAGCACCAAACACTTGAGATGCACATTATAGTACTTTAGAATTTAGATGCACAGAGGAGTAATGAGACTAAAAGTTTTAGCACGCCCTATCTTAAAAATATTGAACGAGATATTTCCACAGTGCAAAAACAAAACCGAAATCCGACATAAAACCGATTCCAGGTTCAATGTCCACAGATTTAAAAACAAAACTTTCAAGTGCCCCCATGGTAAAAAAAAATGACCAAAGACGGAATTGTAACAAAGAATAAATAAAGATATGTGCGGCAAACGAAGAGCGGCACTGGACGAGCGTCTGCCCAAAGTAGGCGCCCAGAGTTACTCCTTAGCCCAGCGGGCAGCAGCAAATGAATTACAGCCAAAGGAAGAATATGCATTAGTCTATTAAGGCTCATCGCACCATGACGAGGCACAGCTCGGATAACGCGATTCGCCTGCGTCCTCCAGGCGAGAAGCACCTCGAGTAGGCTGCCGTGTCTTGACCAACTGCCGCATCCGTCGTCCGCGCCGCAGGCCTCCCAGCGGCGCATCGGCCGTCGACCGGCGTGGGGCCCGGATGTGACTAGTGCAGCTCCGTGGGGTGCCCTGCCGCGCTCTGCCGAGTGTGCAGAGAGCAGGTAGACTGGTGGCGGTGAAGAAAACAAGCTGTTATCTTCTTTCGGGATCTGTAAAGAAGCATTCCACTAAAAACTACATCCAAAACGTTTTCATATTTTTTTACAGAACACAATGCAGTAGCCAAAATAGATATGAAGTATGTGAAGACAACAGTCTACTGCCATTAGATAACTGATCCTGATGGACAAATACTTTAGATACTAGTATATCATAAGGTGGTTCAAAGGCCGGTGCCGTTTTCTTCCAGGGGAGGCGCCCCGGCCGCCGTGCTGGGGCGTAACGCAGTCCGTGCTTTTAGCACAGCAAAATATCCACCCAGGCTAGATTAAAGTCACGACAACCTAGGATTAAGAGTGGCTACAGACTTCAGACTTTATGCAGACTTAACATTGAGGTATTATATGTGCAACTAAATGACACACATGGTGTTTGTTCTAACCTTCTCAACAGAAAGTGGACGTGTCAGGACAGCACCCCTTGGTGACCATTATACTCAAGGGGTGTAGGAACTGATTCCCCAGGGGTGAAGCGATAGAAGCAAAAACATGAGTCACTGGATCCCTCCTGTGTCTTCCCTCCAGCAGGAAAAAATATATGCGTGATGCCCAATGTGACTAATAACTGCATATCATAAAGCTGGAAATATTGTACAAAGTTGTGACAACACAAGCAAACTATGCATGTCACTGCTCTTGTTATTGCTATATGAGACCCCACAAGACACAAAAATATGTCGCTGCAATGTGAGCTATTCTTATAGGGTTATTGTAGTTGTCCAGTGACCAAGGCCAAACAATATTGGCCGAAATATTTGGACTTGCATACACAATACAATCCCAGTGAATTCCAGTGAATTCATTCTACATTTTCACTACATCAAAAGTGAATGAAATTAAGTGATAATCAAAGACTCTGGAAAAGAAGATCAGCATAACTACATATGTCTTGTTTCCAAAGCTAAAGTATGATCCTCAATGTTGCAAAAGTTGCTTGGCTTTTACAATAATGAACAATACAATAACTTTGAATAAAAAACAACATATGGTAAAGTGAAAACACTTATCCAGCACTAAGCAGATTATTTCTAAGCTCGTTTAAGTCCCAATTTCTGCTATATTTCGCTTGGAGTCACTTCATAGTTTGAACTCAAGGTGCCTTGTGGATTTACCTCAGGTATGTAGGTAAATCCACAAGGATTTATGGGCTTTACCTCAGTTATGTAGCTGCTCCCTCAATTTAAGTTTCTCGTTAAATTTCATTGAGGCGTTGCAAGATGGGCTGTAGCCGAATTCTCTTCCCTGTTTAGCTGATGCTGATAATACCTGAACATTTCTAATTCCAATTTTTATAGCTGTTAACAATTGCTAAAGGCTCATGTACCTAGACAATAATGACTTTACAGAGGAAACCCCTGGCTGTGTTTCATGGGCGCGCTGCCAGCAGCTGCCAGCACATTCCGTGGAGCTAGCGTCAACCTCTGGTAGTGTTGGAGGCATAGGCTTGTTGATGTCTATGGAAGCCAAAAGTGGCTGGCAGAGTGCCGCGTTAAACCACCCTTATTTTTTGCACAATAATGGTGTGATAACTGTTCCTGCAAAAAAATATAAGGTGAAGTGAAGTAAAATCAGGTCAAACATTTATATATACCCAAAAGTAGCAGTGTATGGAGTACCTATATTCACATTACCATTCCAATAATATGATGCACAACAGGCCATAGAAAAACCAGTGAATGTTGAATTGTACCCCAATTTCAATATAAATATGGCACTTGGCAATAACAGTTAAACACACCGCTTTTTATGTTAAATCAACAGAGAAAACTCCTGAACATAAAAAATGATCAGAATGTATAAGGATAATAGCATAAATAAAAATCGACGACATCAGCGCCTATCATCGCCCTTGCGCATTCACCACTCCCCATTCCACGCACAGATTGTTTACCCCTTGGTTTACCCCGTGTTCGCAGTCTCCCTGACGACGGAGATTCTATACGCCCACCGACCAATCACGTTCAAGATCAGCGGGGCTTGGCCGCAGTTCTCGAACGCCATTGGCCAGATTAAGCAGGACCTTCGTCGTCAGGAAAACTGTGAACACGGCGTTACATATTTCGCTATGGTAACAAAAGCGCCAGAATTGACTACCAGAATCGGATCCGAAGGTCAAATGGGTCACGTGACTGACAAGTTCAGATGGACAACACCTGGAAAACGGCACAACGTGCAATAACGTTCTATATATCATTGGAAAGAGCATCAAAAGTTGTATAACCTATCAACTTTTCACTTAAATATATCTATAACGCAAAATGTTATAAAGCAGCAAAGACGCTCCCATTGACTTTGCATGTTAAAAAAATTCTTCTTTAAACGAGCTCAAAAAGAACAAACGAATTCTGACAGCTTAACGAAGCATAACAACATATTCTATGGTCTTTTCTCAACAAGTCCTGAAAGTTTAAACAAAATCGTATCATATAATTTTGTACAATGAGCGAATGAAAATGCCTCTGCAAAAACGTCCATTGACTTAACATGGGGAGCGAAAAAAGTTCAACTTCAAACTCGTGCAACTCAAGTTAACGAATTCTGACGGGTATACGGCGCACACTGGCGTGTACCAGAACGTGTTTGCCATAAAATGCTGGGAAGAAAACCACCTCCTTCTTGGCTCGTTTTCCCGCCATTGGCGATCGCGCAAAAAGTGTCCAAAACCCCGTTGACTTAACATGGGGAAAATGCAATTGCACGTGGCACGCGCAATGATTTTTGTTGCGAGTAGCGACCGGTACCATCAGGTAGATCACCTGCAAAAGTCTATACCCTGAAATTTTTACGATCCTAAACGCAAAACTCTAGGCTGCGACCAAGTTGCCCCAATCTCAGGCCAACTTTGCAAACATAGCCCGGAGAAGGACCGCTCCGGTTGTTTTTCAATAGAAAAACACAATTCTAACGAATAGTGTTTGTCTTTTCAAACAACCTGCGGTTACAGCGCACACTGGCGTGTACCCAAACGTGTTTGCCATAAAATGCTGGGAAGAAAACCACCTCTTTCTTGGCTCGTTTCCCCGCTATTAGCGATCGCGCAAAAAGTGTCCAAAACCCCGTTGACTTAACATGGGGAAAATGGAATCGCACGTGCCACGTGCAAAAGACTTCTTAGCGAGTAGCGACCGGTGCCATCAGGTAGATCGCCTCCGGGAGCCCATACCCTGAACTTTTTACGAAGATTGAACGATTCGTTTAGGCCCCACCCAAGTTGCCCCAATTCGCGGCCAGACTTGCAAAACATAGCCCGGAGAACGACCGCTCCGGTTGTTTTTCAATAGAAAAACACAATTCTAACGAATAGTGTTTGTCTTTTCAAACAACCTGCGGTTACCCCAATTCGCGGCCAGACTTGCAAAACATAGCCCGGAGAACGACCGCTCCGGTTGTTTTTCAATAGAAAAACACAAGTCTAACGAATAGTGTTTGTCTTTTCAAACAACCTGCGGTTACTTGCTACCGAACTGACACCTCTTCGTTTTGCACGTGGCACGTGCATTAGGGGTCACCCATACGCATCGAGAGTAGCACACTACGTTTGGGAAAGGAAGAAACTATCCCACACAAAAGACCGCGAGTGAATCGGTCAAGTGGTTGCAGAGATATAAGGTTTGTAAAGGCGCCCCCACGGCGGCCGACTGCTAATATTTAGCAATAATCAGTGTCGCATCCGCACACGGGAGGTATCCCCGTCACCTGTTCGTATCCTCTAATGTGGTTGGGTTCAAGTCACAGTCGAGCCCTGATTTTTTACAGCTTTTCTTAAAAACGGCACATTGTGCAGTGACGTTCTATACATTGTTGGAAAGAGCATCGAAAGTTGTATATTTTATTAACTTTTCACTTTGGTATATCTGCAACGTAAAAAGTTATTAAGCAACAAAGACGCTCCCATTGACTTTCCATGTTAAAAATTTTAATTTTCAAATGAACTTTATAAGAAAAAATGAGTTTTGCCAGCTTAACGAAGCATAACGGCATGTACTATGCTCTTTCCTCTACAAGATATAAGAGTTTGGGCGAAATCTATCTCTAAAATTTTGTACAAAGATCGAATGAAAATGTCTCTGCAAAGTCTCGGCATCGCCGTCCATTGACTTAACATGGGACACAGCAAAATTCCAACTTTGACCTCGTGCAAAGACACGTTCCGAGATTCTGAGGGGTATACGGCGCACACTAGCGTGTACCGGCCGAACGTGTTTGCCATAAAATGCTGGGAAGAAAACCACCTCCTTCTTGGCTCGTTTTCCCGCTATTGGCGATCGCGCAAAAAGTGTCCAAAACCCCGTTGACTTAACATGGAGAAAATGAAATCGCACGTGCCACGCGCAAAAGACTTCTTAGCGAGTAGCGACCGGTGCCATCAGGTAGATCGCCTGCGGGAGCCCATACACTGAACTTTTTACGAAGATTGAACGATTCGTCTAGGCTGCGACCAAGATGTCTCGATTCGCGGCCAGACTTGCAAAACATAGCCCGGAGAACGACCGCTCCGGTTGTTTTTCAATAGAAAAACACAATTCTAACGAATAGTGTTTGTCTTTTCAAACAACCTGCGGTTACTCCCGCCGCCAAACGAGAGGATGAGCCTTGCACGTGCAGACCGGAGTCGGTGTGCTACGGACTGACATGCACGGCATCCTATTCGCCGGTCTATAGCGGTGTGCCAAATTTGAGTGCAATCGGCCCAGCCGTTTTCGAGATCTGGAAGCGAAACCCTGCACGTGCGCACGTGCAGCCTGGGTCCCAATTGACTTGTGCACGGCACTCTATTCGCCGGTTTCTAGCGATGTACCAAATTGAATCAGAATCGGCCCAGCCGTTTCCAAGATCGGGAAACGACCCCTACACGTGCGCACGTGCAGCTGCACCCCAACCGCCGCACATAAATATACATACTTACTGACTTGTGCACGGCACCCTATTAACCAGTCTCTAGTGGTATGCCAAATTTGAGCACAGTCGGTCCAGCCGTTCTTGAGATCTGGAAGCGTCACCCTGCCCGTGTGCACGTGCAGGGGCACCCCAACCGTGACACATGGAAATGCATTGCGCGGCAGGTGCCTACAACCATGCCAAGTATCAGCGCAATCGGCAAACTAACTACAGAGTTATTACACTTGTTACCGAACTGACTTCTCTTCGTTTTGCACGTGGCACGTGCATTAGGGGTCACCCATACGCATCGAGAGTGGCACACTACGTTTGGGAAAGGAAGAAACTATACCACACAAAAGACCGCGAGTGAATCGGTCCAGTGGTTGCAGAGATATAAGGTTTGTAAAGGCGCCCCCACGGCGGCCTACTGCTAATATTTATCAATAATCAGTGTCGCATCCGCACACGGGAGGTATCGCCGTCACCTGTTCGTATACTCTAATGTGGTTGGGTTTAAGTCACAGTCGAGACCTGCTTTTTTACAGCTTTTCATAAAAACGGCACATCGTGCAGTGACGTTCTATACATTGTTGGAAAGAGCATCGAAAGTTGTATATTTAATTAACTTTTCACTTTGATACATCTGCAACCTAAAAAGTTATTAAGCAACAAAGACGCCCCCATTGACTTTCCATGTTAAAAATTTTAAATTTCAAATTAACTTTATTAGAAAAAATGAGTTATGCCAGCTTAACGAAGCATAACGGCATGTACTATCTTCTTTCCTCTACAAGATACAAGAGTTTGGGCGAAATCTATCTCTAAAATTTTGTACAAAGATCGCATGAAAATGTCTCTGCAAAGTCTCGGCATCGCCGTCCATTGACTTAACATTGGACACAGCAAAATTCCAACTTTGACCTCGTGCAAAGACACGTTCCGAGATTCTGAGGGGTATACAACGCACACTGGCGTGTACCCAAATGTGTTTGCCATAAAATGCTGGGAAGAAAACCACCTCTTCCTTGGCTCGTTTTCCCGCCATTCACGATCGCGCAAAAAGTGTCCAAAACCCCGTTGACTTAACATGGGGAAAATGGAATCGCACGTGCCACGCGCAAAAGACTTCTTAGCGAGTAGCGACCGGTGCCATCAGGTAGATCGCCTCCGAGAGCCCATACACTGAACTTTTTACGAAGATTGAACGTTTCGTCTAGGCCCCTACCAAGTTGCCCCAATCTCAGGCCAACTTTGCAAAACATACCCCGGAGAACGACCGCTCCGGTTGTTTTTCAATAGAAAAACACAATTCTAACGAATAGTGTTTGTCTTTTCAAACAACCTGCGGTTACGGTAACACCTTCATATAGGCCCCAATTAACTTGTGCACGGCACTCTATTCGCCGGTCTCAAGCGGTGTACCAAATTGGAGCTCAATCGGCCCAGCCGTTTCCAAGATCTGGAAACGACCCCAACACGTGCGCACGTGCAGCTGCACCCCATCCGCGGCACATGAAAATACATACTAACTGACTTGTGCACGGCATCCTACTAACCAGTCTCTAGTGGTATGCCAAATTTGAGCACAGTCGGTGCAGCCGTTCTTGAGGTCTGGAAGCGTCAGCCTGCACGTGCGCACGTGCAAACTGGGTCCCATCTGACTTGTGCACGGCACCGTACTCGCCGAGCCCTAACGGTGTGCCAAGTTTGATCACAATCGGCCCAGCCGTTCTCGAGATCTGGAAGCGTCACCCTGCCTGTGCGCACGTGCAGCGGCACCCCAACCGTGACACATGGAAATGCATTGCGGGGCGGGTGCCTACATCCATGCCAAGGATCAGCGCAATCGGCAAAATAACTACAGAGTTATTACACTTGCTACCGAACTGACACCTCTTCGTTTTGCACGTGGCACGTGCAATAGGGGTCACCCATACGCATCGAGAGTAGCACACTACGTTTGGGAAAGGAAGAAACTATCCCACACAAAAGACCGCGAGTGAATCGGTCCAGTGGTTGCAGAGATATAAGGTTTGTAAAGGCGCCCCCACGGCGGCCGACTGCTAATATTTAGCAATAATCAGTGTCGCATCCGCAC